GTGCCGGAACGCTGACCGGTGCAGATTGACTGTGCAGAGCTCCGGAGAACACCGCTGGACTGCATTACACTTTCCCAGACCCTGCGACCTACCCATTACTTAATTTGTGAGTTACGCCATTTAATAAATATCCTTTTAACTACGTGGAGTGGCCAAAATAATTTCTCCAATAAAGATGGCCAGATTTCACTCAAGAGACACATGCTTTATTCATTATCAGGGAACTCATTACTCTAAGTTAACTCAAAAAGAGGAAAAAAATATGATCCCACATACATTATTGTTGTGTGTGTGTGTGTGTGTGTGTGTGTGTGTGTGTGTGTGTGTGCATGAGTGCATCTGAGTGTTCGTACGCACACAGGCCAGAGACATTGGATACCCTGGAAGCAGAGTTACAGGTGGTTGTGAGCCACCCACTGTGGGTGCTAGGAACCAAACTAGGATCCTCTGCAAGAGCACTACACACTCCTCTGTGTCATCTTTCCAGCTTTTTTTTTTTTTTTTTGAAAAAAATTTAAATGACATTTTATATCCATTTCCCACTTAAATAAATGTACTAATGAAGTGATGAAAGAGCACACATCTCAAGTTCTATCCAAAGCTATGCTTTGTGGTGAGAGGCTAGGAGTACTGCCTTTCAAGGGTAAGAAGGATGCCTCCAGACTTGGAGTTACTACAAGGAACTACCCTGTTATTGGAGAGAAAAACAAAATTAATGGACAGATGTAAAGCACTGAAAACCCAGTCACAAAATTGCTGTAATATAAAATTATGTATTTGGAAAGTAAACAAAAGAAGCTTAAAAAATTAGAATGCAGAGGATCCATTCAGTAAAATATCTACTAAAAATTATGGCAAAATGCTAAAATCCCACTCTATATCTAAATGAAAACTAGAGCATACAGTAGCCTGAAGGTACACATTCAAATGAGCGCATGTACTTAAAGGAATCATAAGTGGATAGATAAGTCTTCATCAATTTCATTCATGTATTAAAGTGGAATAAGTGGAAATACACTATCATTGAATGAGAAGAATTGGTATTTTTAAAATGTTAGCTTTTTCTAAATGAAGCTATATATTGACGGTAACTTGAAAAAATTACACAAAATGTAAATAAATAGTACCACATGAGAATAGTGTGCTATTTCTATTTTAAAAGGGTTCTATGAGTATTCATGGCCTAATCAAAATTAGTTTTTAAAATGGTGTGATATTTTCTGATCAGTGGAAGAAGCAGGGTTAGTAGGACAAGAATCTGGTTTCATACAGATTCAAGACTAAACCCCTTGATAAGAATTGTTTGAGAATGAACCATCTCAAAGGATTAGAGCAAAAGAAAACTACTGTCTTTGTACCCAACTCACTATTTTTGTAGAATTTCCCTGACCATCCCTGTTCATAGTTAAAAGCATTTAAAATGGGCTGGCTGTAGTGGTGCACACCTTTAATCCCAGCACCCAGGAGGCAGAGGCAGGCAGATAGCTGTACATTCCAGGCCAGCCTGGTCAATGTAGTGAGTTCCAAGACAGGCAGGGTTATGTAGAGAGACCCTGTCTCAAAAAAATGATTAAATAATAATGAATGAATAAAGACATTTCAAATATCTAAATGTAAAAACAAAATTACAATAATAATCCAAGAAATTATGAATATACATTAAGTAACACAGTAAAGAGATGCAGGTAAGCTGAAATATGTTTAGCTTTATAAAAGCTAAAGTTAATATGTGGAAGCTTCCAAGTAAAACTGAAATCAGTAAAACAAAAACAAAAACAAAAAACCCTCAGTTTGAAATAGGAAAACCACATGAACAGGCATTTCACAAAAGAATAAAATATCAATAAGCACTTAAGCATGCCAACCTTTCTAATTATCAAAGAAATAAAGAAAAATGTGTAATACCATGTTCATTGTCATTCCAACAGCACTGGACAGGGCACAGAATGCTCCCAACAGGAACTCCAACACCCTTTCTTTGAAGTTGAGCCCATGTTTACATAACTGCAGCAGCTGGTAGAAAGGTTGTGTGTGTGTGTGTGTGTGTGTGTGTGTGTGTGCCCGCCATGATAGACTGCTACCTCTGCACAGTGGGACATGGAGACATTCTGAAGATTCGTGTATGTTTCTTTTTAAACTTTTCACTGGCATGTTTTGTGGTTCTTTCTTTCCTTTTTTTCTTTTTATGAAGACTCTTACACACACACACACACACACACACACACACACACAAACACACACACTCACCTGTCTCCATATCTTACTGTGCAGAGGCAGAGAGAGACACAGAGAGACACAGAGTGCTATAAGCCACGAGAGTACGGAGGGAGTATACCTCAGATGTGCATCAAAACGCACAGTGGCTGCACAGTGGAAGATAATATTGGTGCAAGACAGAAGTTCCTGCATGTCCTCCTTGCTGATGGCGAAGTCACGCTGGTTGAGGTCTGCAGAGATGGGTCTGATTTTCTCATGCACATTTGGACAGACTTCTTTGACTTTCTCAAACAGCTGAAACAGAAATTCACAGGCCATGTGCCTCATTAACACCACAAAGCCTTGCTTTGTATATATGTCTTTCATTATAGCACTCACACCCTGGTTTTAGTTGTAATACTCCTGTTTTTAATGAAGGTGTCTCCACAGTCAAGAGGCCTCCACTTTTTTTCCATACATTTGGTGTAATTTGGATCCTCTTAACTCCAGGAACATCTGAAAAAGGCATGCCTAATAATCAGTCAGGTGCATTTTGAACTCTGCCCTGGAGATGAAGGGGTGATGGTCACTGTGCTGGATAGTTTTGTGTCAGTTTGATACAACTACAGTCATCTGAGAGGAAGGAACCTCAATTGAGAAAATGTCTCCATAAGACTGGGCTGTAGGCAACCTGTAGGCACTTTCTTAATTAGTGACTGATGTAGGGGGCCCAGCCCATTGTGTGTGGCACTAACTGAGCCAGTCATCCTGGGTGCTGTAAGAAAGCAGGCTAAGCAAGCCTTGTAGAGCAAGCCAGTAAGCAGCACTCCTCCATGGCCTCTGTGTCACTTTCTGCCTCCGGGTTCCTGCCCTGCTTGAGTTCCTGCCCTGACTTCCTTCAGTGATGATCAGTAATTTGTAAGTGGAATGAACTCTTTCCTCCCCAAGTTCCTTTTGGTCATGGTGTTTATCACAGAAATAAAAGCCATAACTAAGTCACCTCTTCCTTACCTGACTCCCTTCATCCTTTAGTCTCATATTTACACATGGGGATAGTTTTTTACTTTTTATATGAGAAATAATGGTTTTCAGGGCTGGGTTATTGGCCTTTAGCAAACAATAGGAAATCACCTTGCTTAATGAGCTGAGCTACAAAGATATAAGCACTCATGTAATTGGAAAATAAAAAATTAGGTAAACATTTTATGAATAAACCAGAAATTTTATGTAATCATACTCTAATATCAATGGCAGTTAATGTCAAGGGTTACATGAGCTCATGTACTTTTTTCACTGGATTTTAACTGATTTTTTTTAAGCATTTTAATTTATTTTTGAAGGGAGAAGAGATGAAAACAACAATTTCAGCTATTATTACATTTACTCAAGTGGGTTGATTCTCTGCTTTCCCTGCACACCGAGATTCTTAGATTCAATTTGCATTTTCTATTGTTTTGAAAACAAAATTTTAGTGAAAACAATCTTGTTTCCAAACATTTTGTTAAGGTGGAGTTTCCATATAGCATCCATGGGGATAAATATTTAGAAGTATTAGAACAGACAAAGTTGGTCTTTGGTTTTTTAAGCATAAGGCAATACCAGAGACAGGCCCCTTTGTCCGAAGACTCTGAAGACAGTGTGCTCCTTGATTCATAGTAGCAGGCTCTTTTATTGAGTAATAAAACATTAAATCTGGGCTTGGGATACAGCTGGCAGAGTGTCTGCCTCCCATGCATAAGGCCCTGGTTTGACCCCCAGCATTGCATAAAACTAGGCATGGTGATGCACACCAACAATCCCAGCACTCAAGTTCAAGGTCATCTTTTCTAGTTAGCCAATTTGAGAATAGCTTGGATTGCATGAGACCCTATTTCAAAAACAAAACAACAGCAAAAAATTCAGGTATTCAGAGAAATCCTATTTTATTTGCATCAGGCAAGAGCAGGCTCAAAGACATCCTTGGAGCTGGATGAAGATGACTAGGGAAGGAACTCAATTCCACAGGCAGCCAGTGTGTGCCATGCTTCCATCCCCAAGCTTCTACTTTCTGTGTGGAAGGGCTGGCCTATCAAGAGATATCACTACAGTTCTGAAGATAATTAGGTTGGGCCAGTCCTCGATGTTTTGTTCTGACATCTGGGATAGATAAGGTTGATAAAATATTCAATCTCACTAAAGAGGTCATTCTAGCTCTTGGAGACAGAACTTTAACAGTTCTAATTTTGATCAATCATAAATATGCTAAATGTTTGCTTTTACAATCAAATGTTTCCCCTGTGATAGTTCTTTTTAGCCATACAACAAATGTACAAGTTTGTGTGAAATGTTTGCAATTTTCCCATTTTAGTAACTGAATTTGTATAACCATCTTTGAGTCTATGGTAGAATTTTCTTCACTAACTTGTTTGTGGTTCGGTGGACACTGACTTTGGAGAGGAGTATGTATTGGGTGGAGAGTGGATGCATCACACCTGTGAACTGCCTTTGGAAGAGTTCAGGGCTGGAATTTGGACTCTTACAACAAAGGGGTGACCCCCATGGCTTCACTTGGGAGGCATCCACAGGAGGTTTGGCTTTGTTTTCTGGGCATCACTGGATGTGATCTCCTTTCATGAGGGCCTTTGCTCTTTATTCCTTCTATTGAACCCTCTTCAAATCGGCTTCTACTATCTAGTCCCAGTAACAGACCAGTGCTTGTTTAGTTACTACATTGATTCTGTGGGGGAAATGGTGAGGTCTGTTAAGTTAAAGGGTAGACTGTGGACTGTCCAAGAGCTCTGAAGTGAAAGAATTTTCTAAGGATTTTCAGGGTGCTGAGTTTAAAAGTACATCAGGAGATGTGGGGTGTTAGCTCCAGTTCAGGTGCAGGGCAATTATGTCCATATAAACCATACTGAAGAACTTATACATCTAATTTAAAGTATCTCTCTCTGTGTCTCTGTCTGTCTCTGTCTGTCTGTCTGTCTGTCTCTCTCTCTCTCTCTCTCACACACACACACACACACACACACACACACACACACACACCACAAAGCATCAGGATCTTACTCATTGCTAGCCATTCCCATAGGCTATAAAGGGTCAATCTGTGAGTTTTTAATTGCTTCAGTGAGGACAGTTGCTATAACACCACAAGACAATGCAGTATGAACATGTGGTTAGGACTGCCTGGAAGGTGTATAAGGGTCTGGATCAACAGCTTGGGCACCTGTGCTTGGTACCAGGTGTGTAAGACTATGGTAAATGACACACTACAGGTGTGTACCAGAACTGGAAAGACATCAGATCCTCTGTCATCACAATGGGTTGGGCTAAATCCCCATTCTGTTCTTTATTGTTCATGTAACAAGAACAAGTTGTGAAGTTCTCTGGGCCTTTTCTGCACATTTACTTAAAATGCCAATCATAGAACTGTATCATCCTGTGACCTTAGAGAATTAGAGGTTAAATATGTGAAGCTATTCTTGAGAACAGCTTTTCACTTGTCAGAATTTCAGTTCACTTTTTGTAAGAACCTATAATCAGCCCTAACGGTGGCACATATTTCACCTTGTCAGCTTTTTGCTCTCTATCCCCACAAGGTAGGTGCCATAGTGTACTTCGAGAATAAGTACGTGGGCAGGAAGGCGTTAGCTGGAAGCTGGAGGCCAACCATAAGATCATTTCTAGGCTCTACTAGGACCATTAAGACGGGAAGGTGCTGATGGATACTTAGATGGGTCCAGCAACACTTTACCTCCTAATGGTTTTGTCACCAAGGAAGCAGGCTCTTCCTGCAGGGAGGACGTATGGCCCCAGAAGAGCTGCCTTCCAGCTTTGCTGCGACACTTCCTTTGCAGATAACACAGCCTTGGGGAGAGGACAGTTTTCTGGGATTAATTTCTCATCTATGACATAAGAATAAACACTTCACAAGGATTCCTAAGATTAAATATAATGAAAGTCAGTGCTCAGCATAACACATGTCACTTAATACATCCTTAAAAAAAAAGAAAACTCTCTTTCTGATTTTAATGTTCTGTATTTCCCAAAGTTGTCAAGCTGGGAGTCCTCCTCTCCTCTCCCCTCCCCTCTCCTCCTCCTCCCCTTCTTCTCTCCTCTCTCTCTTCCCACTCTCCCCTCTCCCTCTCTTCTCTTCTCTCCTCACTACCTTCCACTGTATTGAAGAAGCTCTGACTGATCTAATTGAAGATCAGCTACATTTTTAAAAGTATGCCTTTGTAAACTGTGGGAGCCCACAAAAGTTTTCTAGTGAGATCTGTGCTTGCTTTATACGGCATGGCTGCACTAGGGGATGGCTTGACCACATGCATGGTCACCAGGTATTTGGGATGGTCTGCACTTGACTGTGCTGGGGGGAGGTCTTATGCTCCACCCCTTGGCATTCCTTTAAAAGCCCTTTAGTAGAGACAGAAGGGGCTGGTGGGAATTGACCCAGGCCCTTCCAAAGCTATCCTATGTTTTTAACTGTCTTTCTCTCCTCTACATTTCTATCTAAATATTTCTCATTTCTCCCTGCTCAAGAGTATCCTGGAGGAAAGGTGGGGGCAAGCCTCCCACAGATAGTGCCAGAAACAGGGACCAGGGACTTGGTGAAAGCTTGGGGAGAAAGCCCCACCCAAAGCAGTTGGACTGGTGGAGTTTTGTAGTGAAAGTGAAGGCAGGGGGATTTTATCCTCAGGAGTGACAATGAGGCGGTAAAATGCTGAAGTTGGGAAGTAAGGCTGAAGCGTAGATATATCTCTCTATCTAGGTTTCTTTCTCTCTCTCTCTCTCTTAAAATTCTATCTATAAAAACTAAGGAAGGTAGAATGTAAAAATATAAGAAAAAATTTAGAGTAGAGTAGGAATATTGGGAAGAAGTCTTAGAATAAGATAAGCAATAAGATGGAGGAACTATGGGGCTATGAACATCAGAGAAAAAAAATTATCAAAGAGGAGAAAATACAGGGAGAAAAAGATTCCCGTGGGAAGCTTTTGGCCTGTGAACAGTTTAAGTCTCAAGAGGCAGGGGAAAGAATTTTCCCTGAGGTAGACACAGATAAAATAAAACTTTTCACTCTGTTGACGCTGCCACTGTATGGAAACACCAAACCAACAGAACTAGTTTCCTCTTGACCATGAAGCCAAAAGTTTAGAGAGTAGAAGTCTTGGAAAAACTTGGTGGTCCTTCTCCCTCAAAAAATGAAAGCTTTCTTGGAAATACTTAATCTCTCTCTAAAAATACTAAAAAGATTTTCAGATCTTTGCTTCTCAGAAATTTCTCTTTGTAAGGGCAAAAAATAGATTCATCCGGAAATCTATCGGAAAGTTAC